GTATATCAGGGCTTACTAAAGTATAATTATGGAACATCCAGAAAACCAGAAATTTTTAGACCCCCAAGATAGTAACCTGATAAGAAAAGTTACGTGTTTTAGGCTTTTAATATCAGTTTTCCAACCAAGTTAGTATGTCCAAAGCTTGCCCAGATGAGAGACAGTAGCTTCTTTTTTTTTTTTTTTTTTTTTTTTTTTTTTTTTTTTGCATTGCAAATCTAATTTCATGGCCCACTTCTTGGAAGAAGCCTTAAGTTTTGGTTTCACGTAGGGATGAAGCCTTCAAATTCAACAACCCATGAAGAAACCTCTTATTGGTGCTGATGTGTGTTGCATGGGAGAAGGGTTCAGAGATTCCCACCATCGGCACTCCTGGGCCAGTCCTCTCAGAACTGCAGCCAAGGATATCCTGGCATGCATTTTGAAATAGCTCTTGCGAGCCACTTGCCTCTTGCCCAGTAATTCCTTTCTCACAAGTGGATTGGAGGATACTGTGTTTAAAACTCAGCAGGCTAAGAAACAGAAAGATATCACAGATGTCTCTTTTTTCTTTATTCCCCAGAGACTACTAAAAATCTCCAAAACTACTAAAAAGTGAGCCAGACGGCATATGTGATTTCCCACCATTGGGAAATAAAAGTGGCAGTTTATTTGTTTGCTTGTTTTTAAGAGCAGAAGCTGTAGAGTAGCCCTGCCGTGGCTCTCTGTGAGGCCACAGGTAAAGAAGGAAATGGGGACAAATGTCTGAACTGTTGCTGTGGGAGGTATTTAACTGCCTCCTTCCTCTACCAGCAGTTACATGCTCACCCAACCATTAAGAGCCACAGCAGAGGAAAGGAGGCGGGGTTATGCAGCAGTTGGGAAGCTGGCTTTGCAGAGGAGCAGGTTATTGTCAGAGCCCTTTAATCTGGGTGTGATGTTAATTCCCTGCATGTAAGTACACGAGGGCACGATTTAATAAGCCCTGCCAGGTAGGGTCTTCATGTTTGGGAAAAATGCAGATCCCCTTAATGCATCAGGATCCTCCTGTTACAAAAGGATTTTTTCTTAAAGGAGGTTTGAGCCTATTGAAGATTTCATTCAGTCTTACTTTATTTGGGGTAAAGTGGGTTTTTTTTTTTTACTGATTTGTCTAGGTTTTACACCTTGTTTGCAGTATTAGGGTTACATTAAGAGATTTGTTGCTGTAACCTTTGAGTCAACAGGAGTTTTCAGACACAGCCTGTGCTCCCCAGCTTACAGATGCAATGCATCTTGGCAACATTGGAGAGTTGATTTCTTTTCAACTTGCTGCTTTAATCCAGTCGCATTTGTCTAAGAGGCAGCACTTCAGCTCCCCCATTGAGAGGGGGTGGCCAACCTTGAAATGTCAGGAAGCAGGGAAATCCAATTTATATTGCTAAACACCATTGCCTCTCTTTTTCTCTGTCACTGATGTAATAGGGATCATGTTTGACTTACAACACTCCAGGCACTTGCAACACTCCAAAGATAAGGGAACAGCAGAGGAAAGAGAGTAGGAAACATCCTTTAAACATACCTTGCACACACTCACAAAGTCTGTTATTTTTAGGAAACCACCTTACAGACCAATAGCATTTAAAAAAAATCCAATTTGGGCATCCATCTATTAATGATCTTAATAAAGTCTAGTTTTGAACAGCCCAGAGATGCTATAATATTTAAGCATCACTTTATACAGCATCAGAGCCTTTTTATACACACAGTTTTGCCTTCAGCCTTAGTGTAATATCAGATAATTTGTTTTACTAGTAATTATTAATGCTACCAACAGGAATGATATGCCTAGTTATATTGGTCTAAGTCTGTAACATCCATAAAATGGTTTAATTTGCATTCTTGAGTTTAATTTGCAGAGCAACCCTATGAAGCACAAGGACCAGGATATGGTAGTCCCATTTTCTTTTTTAAGCAACTGAGGAAATGAAGAGTCAAGAGGAAATTTGGTTGTCTACCATGAAGGAAATGGCAGAACCAGAGTCATGTTAAAAACATAATTTTCACTGTGTTAAGCAAAGCCAAGTGTTAATGACTGATCGATGAAGGAGCAAAGCAAAAATAAAGCCTGTCTTCACTCCCACCCTTTTTTTGTGGTTATCTGGCAATGGGTCCACTATTAGCAGATGTTGACTTTAAGCTCCCAAATAATATTGTTGGCCAACACAGAGCTTTCCAGCATTCTCATCTTCATTCTCATGGACATCTGACGTCCTTGAGCTGAGTGAAGTGGCACAGTGCACCACAGACTAGTTTGTCACAGCTACTTTTTCTTGAACAAAATAGAAAACTAGTTTCTTCAATTTTCCATATAATGATGATGCAAAAAAAAAATATTGAGGAAGCACCAAAAGATGCTATGATAGAAGTGAAGGAAAAGACCGCCCAAGCTTCTATAACATTCTCGATGGCTTGGCAAAGAAGTCTCAGGTGGCTGCCCTGCCTCAGTGTGTCCTTGTGAGGTGAACTTGCTGAGAAGAACCAATGCAGGCTGCACAGGCTCTCCATTCCCTGCCTCTCCCTTGAGAGACACCCCAGTGTGTCTCTTAAAATATGAACATATCCTGCTGTGTTCCAACCTCAGCCAGTGAAGTTCCGCTTTCACCACTTGGGAGTAGAAGAATAAATCAGAGATGTGGCTGGTGCAGTAAAAGAGGGAAAGAGTCATTCTGAGGAGACACAGTCAAGACAATCTTGGAAATTGTTAAGAACTCTGGAATCCAGGCAGCATATTCCTTCAGAGGAATCTAGTCATTCAAAACAGTGAGAACTGAGCCTTCCATAATTACTCATTTAGAAATATCTAAGTTCCCACATCTGAGAATCATGGCACAGTATGAAGGAAGTAAAGGTGCTGCCTTTCCCCTCAGAGATCTTAAAATGTCTTGGGGTGCTACTGATATGTCCACGTAAATAGCTTCCACTTGTAAGTGAAGACCCCTTTCTTCCAAGGGCCGGAAGGACAGAACTTTAGTTGTAACTTCCAATTTTAACCAGGGTCTTCAACAGTTTGGAAAGAGGGCAGAACCAAGTTCAGAGTACTCTAGAGCTGAGCTAAGCAGAACCAACAAGTGCTTTTTGGGGGTCAAAGTGAGCTCTTCTTCCTGTGGCTTCACAGCTCATATGGTAGAGTCAGAAGGGTGTACTTTTGTGGTTAGATGGACTGGAATTTGACCATGGCTCCACAGCATCTGACCAGGTGTCCTTTGGTGAGCTACCTGAACTCCCTCCCTGTGCCTTCCTTTCCACATCTGCACAAAGAGCCTCCTGACACCTGTGTTACCGGGCCTTGGCGAGACTCAGAGAGGAAACACAGAAAGCCATCAGCACTCTTTCTAATCAGAATAGGGGCAATACACACTGGCTGTTTTCTAGCCCAGCTCAGAAATAAGCTAACATTTATTTTTAAAAGAGCAGGAAGTATATTTCTGAACCTGGCTAGGACTTTCCTATTTTTAGGGGAATCTTACCTGCAAATGGGCCCCAGAGGTTATAATAAATAATACAAGTCATGTAAGAATTTATAGCCATACCTGACCCCATCACCTGAACGGAGACATTCATCCATGGACTAAGCATTTCAGGAAGCAGGAGAGATGAAAACCACAAATGAATGGTCTCCAGAGGGAAGGTTTGGACTTGACCCTAGGAGAAAACTTACTGGTGCCCTGATGTAGCTCAGTGCCCCACTTTTCCAGGCTCATGCCTGAGCCTATTGTTTTCCTTTTTTTGTCTGTTTTTCCCAGCTCTGGCCAAGCCTGCAGTTGGAAATGCTAATAGGATCTGCTTTGGTTGAGCCCAGGATCAGGGCACATCATAAATTCCACACTGTGATCTTGCTTTCATGACTTGTGCAGCCAAACTTTGCAAAGTCCTGGGGCTTGAAGTTTCAGAAAGTTTTAGAGAAGCCATGAATGAAGTAGGAGTGGAGGCGAGTCTGAAGTTTGCCTGCACCAGACCTAGTTACAGCTGGGATCCTCTATCTTCTTGCACCCCTCCCAGCGAGGAAGCCAGGTGGAACTTCTGACAAAGACCTGGGCTGAGTTCCAGGAAAGGCAGTAGGCTGCTTGAAAGTGATACTTCCCTGATTCTACTCTCTGTCCATGCTAGGACAGGTGTGACAGTAAGATCCCCATTAAGAACTTAATTTTTTGATTAAAAAAAAAAGCCAGCTATCAACTCAAAGAGAATTATAGGTGTTTAAAAAAAAACAAAAACAAAATCTAGTGGTGACCTCAGGTTTGCCTGCTGGCTGTACCTAATACTTCAAAATGGAGACCAATTAAAGGTTTACAGTGGACCATTTATCATGTCAGATTATAGAGTTTCTTTTCAGAGCTTCTTTGCTGGAGCTAATAAATGCCCCCCCACCCCACGACAGCAAGTCTCTTGTCTTGTCAATGGTGACTCAGTCCCTTTGCCTTTAGAGCTTGTCATAAACATAGCCACTGTGAGCAGCCCATCGGTGAGGAATTTTGTTTTATCTCAGTATTTAGAGAATCCCATTAGGGCGCAGCATCTGGGACTACAGGATTTCCATCAAGGCCCCTTGTCCGTCACATCATCCCTGGAACTGTATATGTATCCTGGGGTTATTTGATAGTTAAACCTCCTCCCCTTCAGAATTTGCTGTGTTTTGTGGTCACTGTGCTCTGGGCTTCAGTCCACCTTGGATGTTCCCATCCCCAGATGAACAAAAGCATGCAGATGACTGATGGACTAGAGTCTTTCTTCCCATCCAGATATTTTGGCAACTTGTGGCAGAACAATCACTCTCAAAGGACACACAAGGGATCAAACACCAAGCAGCATTCAGAACAGCCACTGCAAAGTAGATTTGGAAACAGAAAAACAAGGAAAGGAAACAGACTGTCCCAGGCCTGATAGATGCTTTGTAAAACTCCACGTATTTCTAAACAACTTAGCATGAAGATAGGGATCAAGTGATACTTGTCTGTTTCTTATTTTTGATCCCCAAATTTACATTTCTGTGAAGTAAGGTTGCTGAACAAATTAATATTTGCGCAGGGGCCATGCTAATCTTCTCTGTATCGTTCCAATTTTAGTATATGTGCTGCCGAAGCGAGCACGACAAATTAATATTTGCATACAGAGTTGCAGGCAGCGCAGCAATGAAACAGCTGCATATGTTTGGAAAGACTTGAGCTCCTGCACTGATTAGCTCCTGCATTTTTGTTTTTTATTCCCCAAATGGACACTCACTCTGACCCAGATCACTTGGCGATGAGGGTCAATTCATGTTTAAGCTTTGAAGATTAGAGAGACCAGAAAGGGCCACCACATCTCTATTTTCTTTTAAAAACTTTAAACTTTAAAACACTAAAAACTTTAAAAAATGCATAGTATTCTGAGTTCATGAAAGGAATTTATCCACATTTCTGCCACATTAAATGTTAGCAAAGTTTATATTGGACTGTCATATTTCTTTACTTTATTCACCAGCATACAAGATGTCGATCTGAACATCTGGTTTTTAATAACCCTAGACATCTGGGAGCTCCTTTTTATTCCTATGGTGGACGAGGAACAGTAGTAGTGATATTGGCAGCGTGTATTTTCAAACTGCAACTCCTGTCTGTTTCAATCATAATTAATTACCACTTTTTAATGTATTTAATTTGCTAAAAGTGATTTGCATTAGACCACATTTCACTGTTAAGAAAATAGTAGTAGGTTTTGGTGGCAGTGGCTTTTCTTTTGCTTACTTTCTTCTCTTTTAAAAATTAAAACCCGATAGGAATGGTTTTGGAACAAAATGAATGTATGCATGCTATTGGGGTTTAAACGTGAAATGAAATAAACTGCTCTGCAAGGAAAGTTATTTTGTAGCTATTTAGGAAGAAGTCTTGCAAGGCTGTAAGCTGTGTTTTAGAGAAAGCCTCCTATTTTGCCTTGTGACTTTGGCAAACCATAGCTTCTTTCTATGCTTGGAGTTTTTCTACAGCAGCGATTTTGGGGGTCAAGAATCTTATGATGAAAGCTAGGGCCTCCATCCAGAGAAATATATTTGCGCACATACTCAACAACATTCTTCATTGAATTTCAAGGGGTTGCTAGACCCCTTGAAACCCATTTATGAATGCCCTAGGGTCTCATGCTATAAACTTTCCTCCTTTATGAAGATGAAAAGGAACATCAACTTTGCTTTTCTCCAGGGACAGAGAGGAAGTTAAATGAATGTAAAAATACTTTTTTCCTAAGTCACATAGGGAAAGGGAAGTTTCTTGCCAAGAGCAATTGTTAGACTGTTTAATAATAAACACAGTTAATTTTTACGTAGGAAGGCCCAGCTAAAATAATCAATGTATTTTATTTTTTGCCAGAATATTCCTACCTAAGCTGTCAAGTGAAAATTCATACTGAGTTGTCCAGTTCAGACTCTGTGCAAATCACTTGATTGACTCAAGTCAGTCAGAGATTCTTAACCTTTGTGGGCCATGGATGAACTCTCTGAATCTCTTCTCAGAATATTTTTTTTTTAATGAATAAAACAAAATACATAGAACTATAAAGTAAATAAGCTGTATTGAAAGTCACTTGAAAAATAAATATTTGAATAGATAAAAATGACTAGGCCTATTGGCCAGATTAGGTCAAACTATATGAAACTGCTATTTTTCTAAGTAAAAATGGCCAAATATTGGCATTTGCATAGGATTCAACCTAATAATATGACAGTTTAAACAATAAGGAGTCAAATAATGAGAAAATGTTCCAAGTTATTTTTTTTCCTCTTCCTGATTTCCAAAACCAGACGCAAATCATGGCGAAATCTGACTTCATTGGAGACCTATTAAAAATTGCAGCTTCAAATTAAGTGTGACACCAGGCTGTGTTTCAGTCCTGGCATTAAACTGTGAGAATGGCAGGCCGTGTTTCAGTCCTGGCATTAAACTGATAATGGTTCAAAACGGGGGCTTTGCTCTGGTGGATATGCTTCTGTCTTCAAAGATTCCATTTTCCTGTGTATTAGCCACTTCACTAAGGGAGGAAGGTTACCAGAGCTTTTTTGGAAACACTTTTCAACAAGAATTCAAGCCAAAGGAGTTTCAGTTTATCCGTAGTTGAACACAGTTTTGAGTTAAGCAAAACGTTCTTTCTACAAGCATTCTACTGAATTGAAAGTTTACCTCTCTTTTCTTTGAAACTTGTTTGATTGCAAATGTATAATCATTCCATGCAACTGTCTAATCATTCCATCGCAAGTGCATCCTCTTTCATGCTGAGAGCAAAATAGAATCTGTCAACTAAGAAGATTGCAGCATGTTTGAGCCTTTGTGGAATAACCAATATGAATTATCGCATGCTGAAAAATTTGTTCCACCCAAGTAGATGGAGTTGTGTGTGTTTTTTAATTCTTCTTCAGCCTTTATTGATACTTTAAGCTTAAGAGAAATTAAGGGTATTTGATTACTATAATTACTTCTCTGCTTACTTAAAAGGTTTAATCTACTCCTTAGGCATATGCAATTCAGATTGCATGCCTTCCAAAAAAATAATCATCTGCTAATGTAGACTAATTTTAATCTTCTAATCCAATCTTGACACAGAGTCAGAGCTAGGTGGGTGGAATGTTTTTGTGTGTGGGTTGCCATAGATACAAAACTTGGTTATGTATTTGACAAGTCAGTGATGTGGAACTTAAGTTACTGGGGATTTTTTTCCCTCAGTCTTTAAGATTAAAATACAAAGTGAAGATTAGTGTGCCTTTCCAGTGCATCTCGGTGTAACTAACCTTCTCTTCTTTCATTCTGGTGCTCCCCTCCTCTCTGTGCACCTCCCCACCTCGGGCCGGCCGCAGGATGACGAGGAGGGCATATGGGCATAGCCGGGCCTGTAAACCAAAGTTCCAGTTTTGTTTTGAGGGGTGAGAAACCATCTTTTATATCATTTTTCTTAAAAAATTGCATTCTAGTATTGTATTGTGTGCGTGCTCAATTGTGCTCGCTGATGTTTGTGGATTGTGCCCTGTGTTTGCTACTGTGTTCTGTGAGCGCAGAATGTCCGTGTGCCCCGACCCTTCCCAAAAGCCCCCTCCATCCTACCTCACCTCCCCACCCCATGATCACATTACTGCTCTGCCTTGTTGGGGCTGGGTTTAGCACGATTCAAATGTTTCTATGTTATTTGAGATGTAAACTATGCCCTTACTAGGATTTATACACACTTTTTAAGGTATGACTGTGGACTCAGAAATTGTCACAATTCTCCAGTCGTGGTTTTCAGCCGACTGCTTGCTTTTACCAGATATGCCAGTGTGGTGTGACTCTCACGTCCTTCTGGTTGTGTCAAATGTTTGGCAAGGAATAAGGAAAATAAAACTATCTATCTTCATGGAGCTGAAACTCTCATCTCTAAGAAGCCTGTTTAATGGATTGTGCCATCTCTTCTATGGCAGTTCTGAAGAAAACACAAGGATCAAGGCATAGTAATGGTGAATGGGTAACTAACTCTTTAAATGAATTAGAATAGAAATATTCTTATTAGCAGGTCTCATTAGTGACATTTTATCTGTTTCTTTTTTAAAAATTATACTTCTGTGGGGCTTTGCACGCATTGTATTTATCAGAGGGTTTTGTACTTTTAAAAGCTGATCTTTAGTTATTAAGAGCTCACCCTTTATTTATGTCCTGTCCGCATTACGATTGAATAGTGACACATGTAATTACCATGTGGTTATAAATGGAACACTGAAGTCTAGCAACTTTTGCTGCTGGGAATTGCACCTCTCCTGTGTACTGCAGTCTGTTTAACACCAAGTCACAAGCTCCCTGGAGTTGAATATACATATGGTTACATAGAATATGGTATTAAACCTGACAACATTACATATGACATTTTATTCTGAACAAGGAATGTAGTAGATCCTGTGCCATAGTGAATTTTTCTGATCAGAAAGTATTCAATGTATAGTCTTTATTCTGGGACAAGCATGAAATGTCACAGTGCTGAAGAATCACCAGGTGTGGGACAGTTCTTTGGGATAACTTAGCATGTGTGTTTTTCCCCCAAGTCTTGCCTTCTTCGCATAGCATGGCAAGTGGTGCTTCAGGTGAAGTTTTACCTAGAACTGGAAGTTTTGCCTGTGGGTGAGTTTCATTGTTGTGTTTTACTTCTTAGTTGAACCTGTTGTTGGTGCCACTAATGGGTTAGTTTGCTTTTTTTTCGTACTGAAGGGGACGTTCACAGAATGGTTGTTTTCAGGTACAACATCTTTTACACAGTAAAGATGTAATGCTTCCTGGATGCATTTGCTGCCAGTAAAACCTGCTTCATGTTCATACAGGAGTATCTCATCTCTTCTCCATTTTCTTGGTAAAGGGGAAAACAGCACTGGAATGAACACTTCCAGATGCAATATCATTCCATAGGAAAGCTTGTTAGTATGAGGAAGTGGGGAAATCAGAGAAGTTCTGCATGTTCTATGGGAGCAATTCTCTATCTAGGGAAAACATTAAGAGAAATGTCATATTTACTCACACAGAAAAGCTGATAAACATGAAGATTGACCTAAAGTAAAAAGAAATGAGAAGGGTTTTATGGCATTAAAAAGCAAATATGTGAAGCCTGCCCCAAACATGCATGGGGTAGGTAGGTAAAGGAAAGTTCTAAGAGTTTGGGAGTTGTCTTGAAAAGTTTAGCTCCTATTTGGGCTCTTCTGTGAAGCTACTTCTGCCATCGTGAGTATCAGGGTGCTAGGCTGCACTTGTGTGTCCTCTGGAATAATAAGATTTTTTATTGTCCTTTCACAAGATTCATGACACCCTGAGATATAAACAGTGTTGTTATCCTCACGATGGAATTGGCTCCAAGACCGATAGAAAATCTTGCCTTGCTTAAGGCAAATGCAGACAATTGTGTTAAGCCCTATTTATCCCCTTTATTTCTTTATTTCCCCAAACACCATGCACCCCAGAAAATAAATGTTTTTAGAAATTTAGTCAATATATAATCCTTCTTTAGTATGCTGTAATGAATTTCATATGCTTCAGAGGAAAACTACTTATCTTTCTTTATGACTCCTTTAAACAACTTTGCTTAGATACCCTCAGGCTTTTAAAACCCTATC